GGTATTATCACCGTCTTTGTAAAATCCTCTGGCCATTCTCCTTGCTGGTATATGCTTCGGCATAAATCTATCAATTCCCTTGTTGCTTTTTCTCCGAGGTTCTTCCAAAATTCAGCTGGTATTCCATCTACACCTTCTGCTTTTTTGTTCTTCATTTCCTTGATTGCCATTGTTACTGGATCATTCTGGCTCTTGCTCATCTTGGGAAGTTTTTTCTGCAGTAGAATTTTAGCTGTAGTGGTTCACCAACAAGAGATGGAAAATGTGACACTCACTTTGCCATTGGTAGTAGGATTGAGGTTTGGAGTGATTTATGTTCAAGTCAAGCTCCAAGGTCAGATTGCTAGTTAGGCATTGGAATGGATGTGGGCCATTTGGGATGGGTGTGGAAAGCTGACCCATGCAAAGTTCCACCAAGGTGGTGTCCACAGCTTGTTTATTTTCCTACCTCAGTGGTTTACCCTTTAATGTATGGTGTAGCAGATATGCTACATCCCAAATCAAAAATATTAGAACAACAAACAACAACAATATATCACATCATTGAAACAATAAGTGAAACAGTGAAATATATTAGAATAATAAACTGCAAGGTAATGCAAGAATGGAACTCTTAAGTACAACAATATGTTTGAGCCCTCAACTCACAAATTTGAAGAGTTCTTTCTATTTTTCCTTTTTTTTGGAAAAACTAAACTCAGAGGTTAATGCATGAATTTTTAGGGGCCAAAAAAACTGGTGGGTTTGATTTAGGTCCTAGGGCATGGGAAAAGTAGAAAAATAATTTGACTCAAATTTGTGAGTTGAAGGCCCAAACATTTTTTGTTGCTCTTTGATGAGTTCCATTCTTGCATTACATTGTTGTTTTATTGTTCTAATATTTTTAGTTCAGGTTGTAGCATATCTGCTTCACTATGCATTAAAGGGTTTCATGGACGTTTTTGTTATTTCTTGATGTCTTGATTTGCATTTTTTCCTCACAATATCCATTTTTTTGATGCAGGGGCAAGTGCAGGTCATTACACAGCATACACTCGGCATCCACTGACCCAAGCATGGCATTACTTGAATGATGAGACCTGTTCAGAGCAGGTGCTGCAGCAGGAGGACTATCGCAATGCCTACATTCTCTTCTACCGGGGAACTGGTCAGTTTGCAGCTTCAAACTTAATTTTTTATTTGTATATGTGACTGTTAATTAATGGGAATGTACCCTCAGTCCTTTAATTGATGTAAAATTAGGAAACCTTGTTGATATTTTCACAGGATGAATATGAGCAGACCACCTAATGTATGCTTACAGTAGGGTGTGATTTTTGTGTCCTCAGAGTAGAAGAATAATGTTTCAAGTGAGATAGTCAGGCTCTATGGTTATGGCAGGTGCCAAATTTTGTATGTTTGATGATCTGTCCTTGGCACAATGCATTGAATTCTTCATCAATGGAATGTATGGTGTTATGATAAATCTTGTGTGCATTCATGATTTTTTCAGCCATTTAGCAAGGCTGACCATAATTCTGAGCAGTTCATCCTTTCCATCTTTACAGCATAGCATGCTGAGGAAGCAGCTCCTGGATTTACATGTTATTCTTCTGATAGGACTTTGTAAAATGTTTCCTTAGAACTCCAGGACTTGCTGGTTGAATGAAACTTATTCACACTCTTCGCTTGTAAAGGAAAAATGTGACGGTTAATTGACAGTGTAAGCAAATAATATTGAATTGGATGTATTCAGTATTTTCAATTTGAGCCTATAGCCCATAGTTTTCATGAAAAGTACTTAAGTGGTTTATTTGTCCCTATTTGGGCAAGAGTTAGGAGTAAAGGACTATGAGGATGATGGTTTTGTGTCTAATACTGCCATTCTTCGATTTACATTGTGGATACGTTCCTAGAAACGGCAACATATATCAAAACGACGTAAATGAGAAATATTTTTCCCATAGACTTAGTGTTATAATGGGGGATGCATTCCCAGGGTCAAATTTTTGGACTCTCTAATCTAACTTAAGCCTCACTTAACTAAATATTTGGGAAAAAATTTAAACTAATGGTTAAGGGTAAAGTAAAGATTTCTGCAAAAAAATGAGAAAGTATATCACTCGATGCTGACTGCATGGGCCAACACGAGAGAGTGAGGCAGCGTTGCCGCTCCATTGCGGTACCATGCAGATGACGTTGCTGTGGTTTTGAGTCACGCTGACTGGCTGATGTTTTTGCCTCTCAACTCAAAACGATGTTATATCAGACAAGAACGATGTTAAATGAAATTGTTCCCCTATTAGTTAATGTTATAAGCGAAACAATGCATGGCGGAACAACGTAAATAGGAGAATGCCTGTACGCTGATTCCATTGTGAAGATATATATGAACTTCTGAAATGGGAATGATATTGAAATTATATTCAGTTCACTTCTTTGAAGTTTGCTGTAGATAGTTATTCTAGGCCTGTAGGAGAAGATGGCAAATTTNAGAGGGCCTATCTTATCATGTGGAGAATCTATGTGTTGATTAAATATGTTCTCCCATCTCTCTCTGTCTTGTTATTTGCCTGCAGGCATACAATATGCATGGTTCCCTGATGGGACCTCCACATTTACCATCTGGACTCGATTACTACCAATGATACTACTTGGGATGCATTCATCACCTTGATGCAGTAACATGTAACCTTCTATGAAGTCAATCAACCTCGGAGAAATAGGCCATAATGCACAAACCTCGTTTAGGGGAGATAAAGGGGTCTCTAAGCCAAAGAGCTCCTTTTCCCCTGTAGGATTCCATGTCTTCTTGAAGGACCATTAATTCCAAATGCTGAAACCTCCTTCAGTTAAGTCTCAATGTCACCCTATAGTTGGACACTTCCAAATGGGATTTTTGTGTAGTGACTTGAGGGAGGAAGAAAAGGAAGTCAACATTTTCTCCCCTATTTGAGTACATTCAGCAAATTTTCTCATTGTCTTCTCATCCCATTATCAGTTTTGCTTGACTTTCCTACTCATCAATGAAAGTTCCTGTTCCCAATATTCATTCTGGTGTTCATCCTTCTTCCCAGGTGTTCATTCTGGGTAAAGAGTGAATCCCCCCGTCCATCTTCATGCGGGAAGTGCTTGGTAGGTTTTCTTGGCTGAATATTTGTCCTGCACCCTTTGAACAATGGATTACATGACAACTGCTACTAGCATGGGTACTAGAGTTCACTTAGCTTACTCAATTATTTCTTGATTTGGCTTCTTTTTAGCAATGCATTACTTCGAAAAAATTTTACTTTTGGTGATTTTTCAATTTTTTTTTTTTTACCGTGGGAAATCATGAGTGAACCCCACAAGTACAACTACTGTGAAGTTTTCATAAATGACAGTGTTTCTATAAGCTTCTTGCTACTCTCGGCTGCTGGACAGAAAATAAGGAGTTACATGCGTATAAAATGACACTAACTCGGGACATGGAGGGCTGTACTTGTAAAGAAAGTTCCTGTTGGTAACGGTACTACTTTCAGAGGCATCTTTCAATTTTTAATGCTTTAGCATTCTAAGAGTCATCGCCATTCCACGTCTTTCAGCTGAAGCGAATCACTGGCTGAAAAACATCAGTTTCACCTGTACGAAGTCCAAGATACCCACAAGTTCGCACTCCAGACATCTCGACCGCAATTAGTGGACAGGGAGCGTAGCGCTTAGAGCGACATCTAGCATGAACGAAGGATAGACCAGAGTGTGAAAAATATCCGAAAGAGCGCTTCAAGCAGACATGGCGTCTTACTTTATCTGCGTATAGCGGGTGTTCTTAAGGTCTGATTCGTTACAGTGGATATTTGACCGCAATAGGAGAGTTTTGCGCCACACCATCATCCTGCAAGCTTCCCTCTCGATTCATTTCCGTTTTGGCTGCGTAAATCTGACATCGAAACGATATCTCAAGACGCTTCGACCGAGGAAGAAGGAACATGGCCCTCGTCGCATACGCCTCGAGCGACTCCGAGTCCGACGAAAAAGAAGAGAAAGAAGACGGGACCGGGGATTCCCTGTTCGCCTCCCTGCCCAGGCCCAGCAAGCGGGCCGCGAGGGAAGGCGACGAGGAGGGGGAGATCGAGGGGTTCGTGAGGGACCATCACTTCAAGGGGGACGAGGAGCCGCCGCCGCCGAAGAAAAAGCTGCGTCCGCCCGTTCGCATCTCAATCCCGACGCTCATCCCGGTAGGATCTTCAAGCGGTTTACTCGACCTGGGCCAAAATTAAGACTTTGAGATTAACCATTAACTGATTTTGTCCAGAGGAAAGTGTACTGTAGTAGACTGCAGGCAAAATAGGCCTTTTTATCTGTGAAGTGCTGTGAAATGAACAGGAGTAGGGAGGGGTTGTTAAGAGTGAAGAGGTCCCATCAGCCTCAGGCACATACATGGCAGGTATTGAAGTGCTGGTTTTGGGAAAGATGTGTAGTTGGGCCACACCAACCGGCAAGCCCATTGTAGCAGGGCCAGATCATTTGGTGTCCCAGTGCTTATTGACCAGAGATGGGGAATCACAGAGCTTAAGGCATTATGTTATGATGATATGGATGTTTCTCATGTCCCAGGTGAATCTTGCTGCCTTTTTTGCTACATCATGGAATAAAAGTGTCAGTTTTTGCTTTGCATCAACATTATATGCAAATTAGCTTGACCTATCCAAGTATGGAGAACGTACTCTTCTGAATTGTGAAATAGGTTGTTATATCAGTCAGGATACTGTTTTGCAATTTTCTGTTCTTACTAGAAAAGTCTTCCTTCAGTTTTGTAGAAATTGCCATTTTCAAAAATGCAGACTTTCACATGAAATAGGCTGGCCCAATCATCTGTGCAAATGATAATGAAAGGCCTTACCTCTATTAACTATTTTTTCCATGATGTAGGATGGGGAAATAGAGGAGGAAGATAAGGAAAGCAACAAAAAAGAAATCGAAGGGGTGAGTGTATACTTGAGGCCAGCTGCATCTCTACTGCTTTTGTGCCATGGGGCTTTCTACTCCTTGGTTTATCAGTGGGGGCAGTGTTCCATGCTATATCAAGGGGATTTTGAGCACACAGGATGAGGGTAGGAGAAGCGGTCTCATGGCACTCCTCCCTCCGCCGGCGAATCCGTTCGCCAGGAAGACGAAGGAGCCAAAGACGGTGACGGCAACGACGACATCGCTCGTGCCCCGTTCTGTGGCTCCCCAGAAGAAGGGAAAAGTGGAGAAGCCTGTGGTGAGAGATGGAGATGATGAAGCAGAGGAGGAGGCAGAAGAAGGAGAAGCGATGATAGATTTCTTCTCGCTCGACCGTTCCTCTTCTCCGTCTCCACCGCCCACTTATGAACCAATTCCATTGGTTCCTCTGGCACCCTCCTGCACTTTTCCAAAAGAATCCATTGTACCTGGCCCTGCAGTGGAAGTTGGACCTCCTGGTCCTCCTTCTCCTCCTGTGGAAATGCCTGGCCCATCTCCATCACTTAAATTGAATGAAGAGGCTGTGAGTGTATCAAATTGGTTTTTCACCCATTGTGTATTGTTCTTCATTTTTACTCTCAATTACGGCAGCTGGTGAAGCTCGAAGGTCGAGGGCGAAGACGAGGGGAGGAGATCGAGATCATGGATGTCAAGGCCGACGACGTCATGCCTCCCATCGAGCAGATCCTCACCAAGCAGCTGTCACAGGAAGTGAAGAGCTTTGGGGGCAGGAGGGGACCTGGCCCATCATCCCAGCAGAGGAGGAAGCATCAAATCACCTACCTTGCACACCAGGTTCTTCTGCCTTCCATGTTTCTATTGGAAGCTTTTGAGTTATGTGTGAGCTGTTTTGGATGTGGGAACAAACATCCTGCTGTCACTTTGCCATAAAGTTATGCACAAAAATCAGAATCGAGGAATTCCTACTTCCTAAAGGTACATGAGCACAGTGGTGAGTCCAAGGGGGGGGTTGATTATCTGAGCCCAAACCCCCCCCCCCCCCCCCTGTGAGGCATTTTACAGGTTTGATTTTTATACATTTTTTTTATTTGGCTCTAAATGCAGGATGGGTTACCAATTTTTCTTGTCAACCCCCCATTGGGATTTCCTGGGTATGCTACTGCACTAGCAAATAAAGAATTCTTCATGAGAGTCAATGAGTCTTATGCTTCTTTGGCAAGAATGTGTTGATTCTAACATTGCCCAGTCATGATAGACTTTATATTTGTTGCAATTCTATGTGAGATCAGCAAATGTCCCCAAGGTGCCAGGGGTGTGTCCTCAAGTATTGACGTATCCTTCAAAGCATGATCCATTGCAATGTGTGTCTTTTAGGAGAATCATGGTCTGATTTTGTTGGGTACTTTCAAAAGCCTTCCAGAATGTCATTTATTTTCCTTACTTTCATAACAGAGGTATTCAGTCTTGCAATTTCTTTTCTGGTAAGCTTTGTGGAGGTTCCTTGTGATTGTTGATTGCTACACACACTTTGAACTTGATTGGGAATCCTGCATGGATGCAGGACACTTAGAAAAGGTAGCTACAGATAAGGATAATGCAAAGAGCTTTTGGTGGTGTGCCTACTCCTTTTGTCTACTGCATGCAGCTTGTGCCTATTCACTGATCAACTGCTATCTTGTCTTCTGATTCCAGGCTAAAGAGAGAGAATTGGACTTGAAGAATGAGTGGGCTCAAAACAGGATGACTCGAAGACAGACGCAGGCCAAGTATGGATTCTGATCCCACCTGCACCTGCCCCTATGGTAAGGAATGCTATATATCTACATTCGATGTTTTTTTATTTAGCTGCATTTGCAGGCCACTCTCCTTTATGCTGAGTTATGTTTCCATTTGCACATCCATGTAATATGCATAATAGGAATGTACCAGTTAAATGTGGTGTCATGTCAGCTGATGTCAATTTTTGAGTCTGTGTATGATTTCCTTCCTGAGATTTTGCCATTTCATAAATTACCTTTCTGGATGTGAACAAAGCAAGAGAACATTTTAGAGCTCTTGGAAGTCTTGGAATTATTGCTGCAATTTTGCACCATCCTTGTACAACCATCCAAGCCATTGTTGAAATCAGTCTTTTACTGCCAAATCTAGGTTTTAGTTAAGAAGTTGACATTTACTTTTATGAACTTGGGATGGAATGCCTTGAAATAGGATGTAAAAAATATTATTTAAAATAAAAAAACAGATGAATATTTTTTGGAATAATTTCTCAATTCTTTTTTAAATAGCAGATGAAATCAATCACATTTCCAGTGCATTCCTTTGATGGTTTAAAGTGATTTATTTCATCTCTAACTGCAGCATTTTCCTTCGTGCTGTTTCAAGTCCGAGAACCCATCGTCTCCTCGGACGTCATTGGTGAAACCTTTGGGAGCATCCAATTGTGATACTTTCATTGAATCTAGAAGCATCACCACCCCGAGAGGCATCACTGGACGGGACTTTTGCCGAGTCCGTGTGTCTGTCTCTCTTTGTCCACTTTTGATGAATTAGTTATACAGCTATATGACAAATAAAAAGGGATGGTATGTTTTTTTATGCATCACTGGAGATCAGAAGATGAAATTGTGTTTGACAAGACATCAGGCCTTGTCACTGATGACCCTCCATTGACAAATCATACTTCATTTCATCTGCTGCTAAACAAATTTGTTGAGTGACTTGATTCATTTCAGAAACACCATTTAAATTTAATATTTATTATTAGTTGCAGGAATGGAGGGCAAGAAATCATAAGGGACATTCAATGAAAACTGAAATACGTTCCTATCTACAAATATACAAGTTGCAAGGATTTTTATTTCTCAGTTCTTAGAAAATACAATATGCAAAAGACAGGGCATACATCATGTTCCTACTAGTTACTGAGCATCAGCCCCTTCCTCATGACTCTGATGTGACAAGAACACCTTGAGTTCAGGATGGATCATTTACTGCATTCCCTGTGTCTCATTACATTGGTTAGGAGGATAAGTCTCACATTCCTTTCAAATCATCTGACTGAAAGACAGAAGGAAGAGTCTGTTCGTTATGTTGGTGTTTATTTTTGGAGTGACTTGACATCGAGGTACTTTGTATTTCCCAGAGGAAGGAAATTAAGGAGATGAGGTTCAATATGGTTGAATGCTTATCACTGCATTACCTTCTAACATTCCCAAGCACCCTTCTTTTACGTGTATTTTCGTAATGAAGAGAGAAAGAAGATGGAGAGCTGAATCGCCAAGAAACGTTGGTTTCTGATTGTCGACGCTGATGTCCTTTCATTACGACTTTGGTGGCGACAGTGTCTTTAAGCACTGGTAGCCTTTGAGTGAGTGACATATCTCGCCCACACGGCGAGCCTCATCTCTGGGGGGATGAAGCATTCCCCATGATCACTCGCCGAATGCACCTTTATCCTCGGAGACAGCTGGATGAAGATGAACTTAAATTACAAATTATTAATGGAAGACAGCGTGCCTTTGTCATACTTTGCTCAGAGTGAGGTGTTTTCAATGCTATCATTGGATGCACCCAGGTAGAAAAAAAATCACACAATAGTGGATGCTCATGGACAGGTCCATCCGTTCAGCCGCACATTTACTAATCCCGATCTTCCATCAGTTCGTGGATCCGGAGGATTAGAAGACAACTCTGACAGCAATAGGCGGCAAAGTGCAAGATGGCGCCCGCCAGTGGTCCATGGTGCCATGTGTTCTAATGCAGTAAGCGTGTTATGATGGCATTTCTGCCTTTACGGTCGCCTGATGATGGAATGCGCAAGGGTACGGGGTTTCCTGGAGAATTTTTGCTCTTCCTTATACTAAGGATTTTCTCGTATTTTGTCTTGTCTCGTTCCAGTGATGATTAATATTGTCTTGCGCTCGCATTGAAACATGGGCTAGCTAGACCAGGGGCGAAACAAGAATTTCTGCCACAATATTGACACTCAATTGCCTAAAGCTGGAAGTGCTTTGTGACTTCTCAGGGGGATGTAAAATACTTCATCAAATGTTCACGAAAACATGAGGAAAGTGAAATCTTATGACAGACCCATAACTATTACAAACAGACCTAGTTTCACTGTGGCAAATGAAAACTATAGCTCGAATTGGAGGGAAGCCCTGACACTTGATCTATAAGATGCATGGAACTGTCAAGAGGTGAGATTTCCTGAAGCCCTCCTCCCCCTCGAGTATTTGGCTTATTTCAAATCCCTCCTGTCATTTTCATATCAGCAATTTATTTTATTGCAACAGACAGCAGTGGATTCCACCACAAGCTTAAGCATCCTTTGTTATTCTGAGTTGTGACTGCCAGTAAAGGCACTGAACCCTTATTACTGTACAAGAAGTCCTTATTTTAATGCTGCTAAGCTGTATATATTGCTCAGTTGTAAAGTCCTATTTCAGGATTTATTTAATGGCTTGTTTGGGTAGTAGACCTAAGATGGAACCTATGATACTACTTCCCTTGTCCAAGACTATTGTGTACATGGATGGGACCATGAGCCAGATGTGATGACATCACCTCTTTCTCCTACAATCTATTCAAACCATCTTGTTACCAGTCAAGAAACACATACCTGGACTACCATTCTATATTGCATTCTGTTTATATAGCATTCACTGCATCTTGCACTCATAGGCAGGCACACAAGCCGCTCAATTTCAGTGATACAAATTAGCTAGATCTATGGCAAGCAGCATGGAAGTTGACATAGACCTAGGTGAGACACTCATCCAAATGCAATCACATTAAACTCTTTCAATAACCATATTCCTTTACTAATCTAATGATAGTTACATTTTTCTTGAGGACATGTTGCTAATGTTACTAGGTGTCAAAGTTACAATTTTTCCAATTCTGAAGTATCTTTTTTTTCTCCCTTCAGTTAAGGTGACCCTTGTGTACCAGTGCTGCATGTTGTATCCCAATATATAGAGGAAGATGAATTTGGTCTCCCAGAACATTTTATCCTTGGGTGCCCTTGGTGCATCGGGAATACTGAGATGGCTGACAATGTTCAACACTTCTTGTGCAGAGAACAGGTGATGAATGAAAATATTTAAGAAAGAGTATAAGTGCTTATAGTGCTTCTCAAGATGGCCAAATAGGTGCAGCAGCATCATTGCTCTTGACTTATTGAGACAGACTGATGTATATGGGTTTTACCAGGCATTATGTGTCTTTGTTAATATAATTCTTAATAATATGCTTTCATGACAAGATATGGTAATTTCCAGAAAATAATGTATAAATAGTACTTTTTTTGCTTCATCCTTACATTTCAGGAGCTGCATAAGAGAAAACTCAGACCCTCCTGTGTGGTCATGAAGCTGCTGACTGGCATGGAGGAACTGTCTCTCTCTATTGAACAATGTAACTGAAAGTGAGTGTTCTTTTTTGCTATCTGACACAAGCTTACCAACATTTAAATTCTGCTTCATATCATTCCAACTGCAGTTGGTTACCATTATCCCTGATATTTTGCAATCATGAAGGAGCTGTTATTGTACCTCTTCTTCAGTGAAACTTTCCTGCCAGTGATGTCAGCTGACAATCCAGTCATCAAAGAGGAGACCTTTGATTCACCTTCCCCTACTGTGGAGGATGGTGAGCAGGTTCACAATGTCTGCCGAATGCCCTTGTTTGCCACATGTTTGTCAGGTATGACTCCTATCTCAATTTTTAGGCCAAGATGAGGTTCAAATCGGAAGCCCAGAAGATTGTGTCCTTGGGTGCCCTTGGTCTCCAGAGAATGCCAAGAATGCTGGTGAGGCTCTGCACTTGATTTCAGAAGAACTGGTGAGTTGAGGTAGATGCCTCATCAGTATTAAAAAGTTGAAGCAACACAATCCCTTGGCTTACCATAATGGCTTGATGTGCAAGTATGTGTATGCCATTTTCAATTTCAGAAATGAGGAACAGGAAGTGTCTATGGTTTCCAAATAGATTAAGTCTTTTCCAACTCATGAAAACATTGTGTTGAAAGTTGGTGCTCAAAGAAATATTGATAAAGTGTTGCATTGACAATACATGCTTGGAAATCCCAAAATCACATTCTGGAACAATGAGTGCTTGGAGGGGAGTTGGAGATAGCAATCTGAACTGCTGGTAGAAAGTGAAGAGGAGTAGTAACAGCAATGAGGGTGTCTTAGGGAACACTATCTCACTTGTCAACCTCTTCAGAGACAAGCATCCAGTCTTTCCAGTTTCATGTATAAAAAAAAATTGCAGTAGAGATTTTTGAATAGAGGAATCTACTTAGTAACATGTAACATTGATTCATTGTCCGGATGTTGAATCAATGTTGTTTCAATGTTATGTGCTACTAGGGCTGAAGTCACATTTCATAAAACATTCTGGGGGACTTTGAGCAAGTAGGTACCCACTGGGAAAAGTGGACCATGGGAGGATTCAATCCATTCAGAGCTACATGCTTGTTTGTAGAAAGCCTGCTATATTATCAATACTCATTCCATGTTTCATACTAGAGGTTGATGGTTGACTTTCTCTGGTTATGAATGTTTGATATATTCTCCATTCTCTTACATCATTTAAAATATAAATTCATTTTTCTTGAACTAGATTGCCTCTGAAGAATCATCCTCAAAGGATGAGGAATCACAGTCTGAGCTGAAATTAGAAGTTGCAGTTAATCCACAAGACATTTCTGTGGCAGCAACTCATAGGAATGATCCCTGTGCTGCAGAAGTTGAAACTGAAAGTACTACAGGGACCATTGATTATATATGTGAATTGGATGGTGAATCATCTGACCACAAAGAGTGCAAGACAGTTAAAAGAGAAAGGAGTGCAATATGCAGGCCAGGCTTGACATTCAGCTGTATTATCTGTGGCTGTGAATTCAGGCTGAAATCTGCTTTGGCTGATCATATCAAATCAACACATTCTGGGGAGAGGCCTTTCAAGTGTTCCAGTTGCAACAAGACATTCACATCAGAAGTCAACTTGAGAGTTCACACGAGGTGCCATTCGGACGAAGAACCGTACAGGTGCGACATCTGTGCCAATGCCTTCAAGTGGAAAGGAAACCTGTTGAAACACATGACTCTCGTTCATTCTGACGAGAGGCCTTTCAAATGCGACATCTGTGGCGAGACCTACAAATTGAAGTACGTGCTGGACAGGCATAAGATTCGGCACCAGGAACGGAGATTCGAGTGCGGTACCTGCAGCACGGTGTTCTTCCAGGAGTACGACCTGCGTCGTCACGAAGTCTGCCACTCGGACGCAAAACCGTACCGGTGCGAAGAGTGCGGCAGGGAGTTCAAGAGGAAGAGGGGACTCCTGTATCACCAGACCTCCCACTCAGAAGTGAAGTCTTTCGTATGCGAGTTCTGCGGGAAGGCATTCAAGCGAAAGAAGGAGCTCTTGTACCACCACACCTCCCATTCGGAGGTGAAGCCGTTCAAGTGTGAGTTTTGTGGGAAGGGGTTCAAGTGGAAAAAAGATGTTATCAGTCACTGTAGAGCCAAGCACAAAGATACAGTGAGGTGAAAATCTTAAATTCCATTTCTTTCTATGCATTCGTGACCAAAGTGTCAGGCATCTTATGCATTGATCTGAGCCTTTGTATTCAGACTGCAGTATTTCTCCTTGTTGAATCCAGAATTGAGATGGCTCTATCATGATGCTGTTATTTTTTTTTTGGAACCTGATTGGTCAAATTGGTCAATATTTTTATGTAAAGACTTTGCAGATCTTCCCTGCTGCCATTTCTGTGCAGCATGAAGTTGTTTTCAAGCTATTTATGACACCTTGTGTGTCACTATGAGACATGTGCAATGACAATCTAAATATATTAAAGGTTCAATTATGGTGATGCATGCAATTGTTAAGAAGGGTTGGCATAGCCCTTCCATGTTTGGAGTTGATTAATTGCAGCTTTGTTTCGCACTGAATCTGGATTGGAAATATGAAGATCCCAGTGTTATGCTGAATTTTTGTGATTCTTTATTTTTTACCCCTTTTCCAGGATGGATAAGTTGAATCACTTATACATTGAAGAACCTGTCAAATCATGCTCATATTGTCCTTTATTTTCTGCTTTAATGTCCTTTGTTTGTCCATAAATTGAGTGTGATCTCAAAACTTTGAGGACTGTAAAGGAAGACCTGTCTCATATTTCTAATTAACTGTGACAAATTTTATTCTGTGATTAGCTGAAATGCTCACATAAAGGTGGCGATACAGGGAAAAGCTGGGAGAAAACTGTATTCAGGTGATGTTTTATCTTGCCAAAATGTGCTAATGCAGTCAAATTTGAATTGTTTGACTCAAAATTGAATGTTTAACAAGTCTGTAAAATGTAAAAAGTTTTTATTTGTTTGCTACAGCTTTGTGATACACTTGCTATATTAAACAGAACTGTACTCTGCAAAATTGCTGCTCTTGCCATCTCAGAACTACGCTTTTTTTTTAAATCATATGAAAAGTCAGGAAGGGCATTTGCACGGTCAAAAACTTGTAAAACTTTTTTTGTTATCCAAGAAGCACCTCGAATGTAATGTTTATGTAAAGTATGGATACCCTTTATGTAATTCATGAAGTTTTCATTCACTTTTAATACTTAAAAAAGCAGCAGCAATGTCATTTTTGGGTTCGCAAAAAAGTTAATTTTTTTTCTCTCCAAATATCTTGCAAGTTCCCCAATTTCCGATGTTTTGTCTCCATCGACTGGGTGTCAGATCCGAAAATCTCTAGGATCTGTTATTTTGACGTCGCGAGATTCGATGCCGAGATGCCTTCTCCTGCGGAATGACGCCACCGTATAGTCCGGACAAGTTATCACGGGAGAGGTCCGGACTGTCTGTTTCAACACCTCCCAGCCGCACGATTCGAAGGAGTCCATGGTCACTTGGGCCATATGTGGTCTGGCGTTGTCGTGAATGAAGATCGTTCCGTTTGTCGGGAGACCTCGGCGCTTGCTCTTTATGGCCTCGTGCAACATGGCAAGCGTCTGGCAATATCGTTGGGCATCAACTGTCTCCCCGTGCGATTTCCACGCGTTTGGGGAGACGAAGAAGCGCACGAAGGGACGTCACTTGACGTCGGACGCCGCAGTGAAGGATGCCGTTATAGACATTTTGAACCGGTTGACGCAATCGTTCTTCGATTGAGGCATCACAAGGCTAGCGACTCAATGCGACATATGCCTAAATGCCCATGGAAATAATATTTTAAAAAATATATATATACTGTATATACACATAAATGTTCACGTTTCTTGAGAAACACGCGTTGGCTCACTTTCATTTGATTTGCCTTTATATTTGCTTGCTTTACTAGAGCAAGGCAAGAGAAGTGGTAGAAACGCCCCTCAAGAGTATAGAATGGAATGTGCCTTAAAATTCGAATCTTACCTGGTGCCGATGTCCCAACGGTGACTCGTGTACCGGGTTCCAGCTTTCCATAGCGGTCCCATTCGCCGGAGCGATGAAAAATTTCTTGGAAAACAATCCGATTGAAAAAAAATCCCCTTCGGGGAAACCGTTACCGTTACCTATAGGACGGTGTGTTTTTCGTACAGACACGGGTTTTTTTTCCACTATTTCCTGCATTTGGAGTCTCTCCTCGAGAATTCACGGCAACCATCTCGTCTTCGCATTCCGTGGTGAGAGTCGGCAGGTTTCACGACTCAAATTTCCACAGCTTCATCACTCGTTTCGAGTTCTCGGTGAACGAAGTCAGACGTTTCGCGCGTAACGCCACGCAGAAACTAAGAGCGCCACCTCGAGTCGTAGGGTTCATTATTCGCCGATGCACCTTGCGCCCCACGCTCACTAAGAAACGGAGGTATAGAGACAGCAAATCGCCGATAACGCTTAGGTACTTCATCGGCGCTCCTCGAAACCGGCCTCGTGCGTCGTTGGCAGCGAACGCGATGTTGCACTGTGAAGCTCTGTCGGCGTTTTTTTTATTTCCTTTAAATTTATGCAGATTGTGGCCGAGAAGTACCTGGCAAAGGTTCTGTGACGTGCATATTAAAAAAAAAAGTAATTAAAATAATTTATAATTCGTAGCATACTACATACTGACGAGATTTGAAGTGACAATATCCACGTCTGGTTTATAAATAGTTTAACTATTAAAAATAATGCAGCGTTATCGTCCGCCTCCTTCTGGTATGTACTGGCACGCACGCGTCACTGTGTTGCCCATCGCTCAGTGAATCGTTTCTATGCTAATTTTGGCTATTTCGAGTTCGATGTTTCGGCTTGATTCTTCACGGGACCCCGGTCCGTTTTCGTAAACGCATGACTTTAAAATGCCCCGTTGAAGAAAAATCGGGGGCTGTGGCGTCAGGGCCTCTGCCAGGTGTCGTGCGTCTGACTCCTGTCGAAACCGACCACCGTATTGCTTTTTGCGTTCGCCCATTCCACGACGGTAGTTACATCGGCGTACGCAAATGTTACTACGCACGCGCCAAAATGATTCCCGGTGAACGATTCCGTGTTTATTTATGTCCGAAACATCAGCGAGGTCGTTGCAGTTTCCCAATTGCCATCACACGAGAGGCCGACGTCTGTATTTTTGTTTCCTCCCACTATCTATCTGGAGGGTCGAATCGCATCGGGGCCTCCTTAGCCATCGCCTTGCTCTTCGTCCTCCAATCGCCCGCTGATCTTCTCGACACATTTCAGACCATCACTCTAAGTCACTGCCGTGGGCTTCGCAGTCGTGTTCTTCGTGGACTCGGGGTACTCTCCACGGTGGAGGTCGGTCAGCCGTCTCTCCACTGATTTTCTTCGCACGAGAACCACCGAACCGGTGCAATTCTACTCTTTACGCCCGTCCTTTTGTGTTTCGATTCCCGTACCAATAAGTATCTGACAGATCGGGTGAAGGTTTCAGGGAAGTGGTAATTCTCTCACCCTGACCCTGGAGGCACGACTGGAAAAGCGATCGTGCCTAGAACTTATAGCCCGTTGCAAAGTCTCGGGTCGCAGTAATAATTATTGCGCGACGATGGTGGGTCCTACGTACGCGGATTTTGCTACGGTCGTGAATCGGCGTGCGCCACTTTTACCATGGTAGTGGTTTCAACGTACGCAACTTTCACTACGGTAGTGTTTTTTTTATGGGGTAGTAAGTTTCGCGTCCTACACTGGCCATAAAAATATCAAAATATTGAATTGTGGCGGTTCGAAATAACTTTTTTAATCATCAGCTCCTTTGATGCCTGGGCAGTATGGGCAGTTGTCCCATCCTGTTGGAACCAAAATTTTCTTTAAATTCCCCCTCCTAATGCTTTGGGAAATGGGCGCAACAGCCACGGTTAAGTTTGAGCGGTACACCAGGTGTGAACTTCTCATTCCAAAATCCAAAAAGATTTCAACTTTCTGCTAGCGCATCAAAAGTGGGTGAAGTACTTCAACGGCTAAAAAAAAAGAAGTCGACTCTCTCTCGGAGTTGTTAAAGATTGCAAGTTTTTCCTTTGCTATTCTTTCTCACAATGCAAATGTGGAGAGAATGTTTTCGCTAATGCAAAGCCAGAGGACACAGGAAAGGAACAACTTAACTGTTGAGTCTGTGAAAGGGATCATTCTTGTGCAGTATAGCTTCGAGCACATGTCTTGTAAAAAAAAGAAAAAAGATGTTCGCGGTTACTTGCTGAATCGACATCGAAAAATGTGTTCAACAGAAAAGTGTGCATGGGCGCCGAAAAATTGAGGCCTGAGTGACATGCATTTGTATTAATATATTTAATAACGTAGAAGAAAATGCAGAGGAATTTCTCATGTCTAGCTCATTTTAACTACGAAACAGGGAACCTTGATCATCCAATAGTAATAAAATATTCCCTGAATAAACGGAACGAAAGGAGAAATACAGGGAAGATACAGTCTCACGTTCCACTGGGAACTCGCACGCGATTCGTCCCGATACGTGGACGGTCGAATCCGTTGGCTCCTGTCCGCCGATCGTGGTCCAGGTCGTCGGCTCGGGATGAGTTCACGGCAATCCGCAATACTGACCGGCTCACAGTCGGTCCACTGAGTTGATCGGCTATGGGGGGGTCGGGCTCGACACGCCACGTGTTGTCCGGCCGAAGGTTCGAGGACTGTTGGGGCGGGGTGGGGCGGGGCGAGGGCGTGAAGGAGCGAGAGGCCCGCTATGGGGACTCTTCCCCTCTACTCATTACCTCACCTAGGGCACGAGGACTCCACAAGGAAAGGGTGAAAGTTAAGAAAATTGGTTTTCACATTAATTCATTTAATATTAATTCTGAAACGGATTGAGAGGCGACACGACCAGCGCCTCTCAGTATTTGCTGATGACGTCACAACTGAAGTTTCCAACAACGAAAATGCCAGACATTCACCCTGGCAGCCCTATAGGGTGGGTAAAAAAAAATTGCCAACTGAATGTGTGAGAAAAAAAATTCGGCCTCGATGGCACCAAGGACTTAGCCCCTGGGTAATTCCAGGACAAATTGCCCAAAAAATTTGGAAATTAACACCCGACCCTCTTCGATTTTCATGAAATTTTTTTATTTGACCTTGTAAGGTTGGCTTGGGGGGCCCCCTACAGCATGGGGTTTCCGGTGTGCGGGGATCTCCAGAGAGTTATCAGGAAAAGTATCTGGAGATGTTATCTGCGAAGATTGCGATGTTCGGAGAGGTTCGTAAGAGAGACCTCTGTGATCGGTAGCAGGAAACCCGTCCAATAGTAACCGTTGACTCCAAGGTGTAGACTCCTTTGAATTACTCGGGACTCCGGGTTTATATAAAAGGGTGCGTAATTGGACACTACGCAGTTTATCATACAAGAAGTTTATCATACAAAAGGTAAAATGTAAATAGGGAGCCTCAGGGTCGTCCTTCTGCGTCCCAGTTGTCCGGTGGAGGACCACCATCACCACAGTTCCTCTAATAGTCCGCACGTTCCTGTGCGGTAGCTGCGTGAAGGCTCGGCACGGCTTCACGCGTGCCGTGAGTGCGTCCACTCACTTTGGCTCTCGGCGACCCACTGCAGAGGGACTGTTTGGGGAAGGAGGTTCTTCCCTCCATAATCAATCCCTGCGGGGCTCGAGGAGGACTCCACACCTGATCTTTCAACTCCATGCTCTGTCAAAATATCTTGCAATTATTCTCAGGGGAAATTCTTTTAAAAGATATGCTTATCCTTCAGTTTTAATGCACTCCCTACAAAGTACTGTTAAAGGATTTTTCAACAAGAACATTTTCTTAAAGGGTATGCAGATTTTAAATGTACTTTCTTTCTAAAAAAAAATATATAGGGTAACTTGGGGGAATATGGACACCAAAAATGAAATCAGGTTATAGCGTCACGTCTAGGTGAAATGAAACTTTGCCAATATTCAGAACATATTGATTGATGTCTCCTTTATTTATTCCCAACAAGATCCGTGCAGGAAAGTAAATGGGAAAAGAGTATTTGGGACCTCTTCACATGGGTCCCAATAGGCCATATTGCCCCTATTGTTGCGGGAATATTGCTAGGCATTAGTGGAGAGACCATAGAAGAACTTAGAAGTAATGGTTTCTGTATCCATGCTGCTATTAGGAAATATACGCCTATGTTGCTCAAGGCTCATATAAGTTTTAGGGTCATGAGTCAAAGAATCGCATGCATATGACTTTCAAGACATGGATGTATCCCGAATTCCTGTGGGAACTGGATTGATGAACGGGTCTACACATTTCGACAATTACATGTACTCTTCGATAGAACTATTTTTAAAATTCTCCCAAACTAATTATTCAGTCCATCAGGGGATTCCTTGTGAAGGGCCATATTACCCCAATGGCCATATTCCCCCAAGTTACCCTATAGAAAAAAAACCACATAAACTGCATCCTTCCAATCATCCATCCATCCATCCATCCATCTTCCATCCAACTGCTATAGCATTATGTTTATTGGTGAAATGAGATCGCATCCTTTAGCCCCCTACAGCTCCTTCCTCTGGGAGAGATGAAGGAACAGTGGCCAACTCACAAGTGCAAGTTGGCCAGCCAATGAGTCAAAGAATCGCATGCATATGACTTTCAAGACATGGATGTATCCCGAATTCCTGTGGGAACTGGATTGATGAACAGGTCTACACATTTCGACAATTACATGTACTCTTCGATAGAACTATTTTTTAAATTCGCCCAAACTAATTATTCAGTCCATCAGGGGATTCCTTGTGAAGGGCCATATTACCCCAATGGCCATATTCCCCCAAGTTACCCTATATATCTATAACACATTTACCAGACATGTGAGAAGTGGTACAATTGTGATGAAGTTCAAAGTATAAGCATTCCATTAAGTGAAAAAACTTCCCACTTGCGTTTAAAAAATTGCTTACTCAATTGCATAAGGAGATTCACATTTTGAAAGAAGTAAAACTACCCAGCAGAACAAAATGCATTTTCTGGACTGGAGCAAGAAATGAAGCTGGACAGGAGGATCTGGCCCCTTCAACTGACCTGATCAGGTGCACCTTCACTTTCAGTTGGAGAGGCATTGCCTCTCCAACAATTGCATCTGTGGATGGGAAAGAAGCGACAGGCAAAGCCAATGAGGATGCCAATGAGGATGCCAATGAGGATGCCAGAGATGCCGATTCCAATCCCAATGTCTGTGCCATTGACACCACCATTGCTGGGGTTGGTTTTATTCTGTTTCCCTGTACAAGGAATGGAATGGAATTTCAGGGATGGAATTCAAGTTGATAACATGAAATGAAAAACATTTAAAATTTCCAATAATTTTTTAGAAATTTCTTTCCCATGTCATGTCAGATTAAAGTGGCTAAATTAGTTTTGCAATTTAATTGCACAACAGGATGGATCTTAAAAAAAAGTTATAAAAAAAGACTAGGATACTAAGAGTATTTCAGCAAGAAATTTTGTTAAGTGGTATGGTATTTGACAAAAAAAGTCAGCTGAGTTTGTAACTGTTAGAGATGCAACAAGATTGAATTTAGCTCAATATCTTATGCTCCAATATTCCAAAACATTGAATAACAGATGGAGCCTACATGCTTTGAAGCAAACTTCCTACTTCCAGTGAAAAATAAAAAATTAGCTCAAATTTTTGTATATTACCTTCTTGTTTGATGGAAAAAAAGCCAGGTACCTTCCTATGAGAAAAATGAGTGAATATCCACCACTTGCAATACAAGCAGAGCATTTGAAATAATTCAGGTGTCCTTCCAATAGCAGTTATTGGCAGGTCATATATATTATATCAGACTGGTATATCAGTTACACCCAATATGACAGATACCTATAAATGATAGAATAACATTGCATCTCTATTACTAGTTCACTGGTTAAGCTAGAGCTATTGTCAAAGACCAAGAATGGAAAAAAAAAGCACATAATCACAAGAATATTTGCTTTAGTAAATCAGCAGTTAATGGCAAGCATGATTTTATTCAAGAGAATGGAAGTCTAAGCAAAGAGACTGGAGCATATGACTGTTCTGATGGGTGGACCACAATTGCCTCTTTTTATTTCTAAACCCTTCCTCTTCCCTGAGCACCAAAATTGAAAATCTAAATTCATTCTGGGGTTGACCCGTGGCATAACTTATGACAATAGACAAGGGTGTGCATCATGCCAATAGGCTTGGTAGAACCTATTCCCTTTCTTCAATCCCCCTAAAATTAAACTTCCTTGAGAGAACTGGATGCTATTCATGCACATTTCTTAACCTTGCAACATAGAATAAAGCCAGCAAATTTTAAGCTCAATCTTCTCAGGTTTACAGATTTTTTTTTTTGCAGGGTGTGAATTTCATTCTGCTTTTTTTTTCTATTTTTCTCTCTCTTGAGTGGCTGCTTTCACCTTAACCCTTTCAGACCTGAATTAGGGCTGCCATCAGGATAATATCCATTTTTGCATCATTGAGCTCTTCTGTGATTGTAATTGAAATTTTCATGCTTTATATGTTGTTTTCATATTTTGTATAAATTTACCATCTCATACCCTATATATTATATATGATACATTTAATTAAATAACAGAAGATTACAAAACTAATGGGCGAAAGAAGGCATCAATGGAACCAAGCCATGCATAATTGTGCCCATTGTAGCGTGATATAGAGTGCAAAGTCATGAGAATCCTAATAAATTATTAGAAACCTTCCTTGAATAAAAAAAAATGAAGATATAAGATAACAATCAAACATACAAGGTCTGATCAAAAAGTTCCAATACTTTCTTGTTAAAAATAAACCACTTTAGGTAGCAGGCTAGGACTAGTGTAGGTCAGATTGGAGGGGGGGTTACCGCACGCATTTTGAAACCTTCTTTGCACTAGGATTAACCAGTCTCAAATCACGAGTGTTGAAATCTGGTTGTCTCTGTGCTCTTCATCGAATTTACGATCATGCATCATGAGTTTGGCCCACAAGGTCAAACAGTTAGACCATAAGACCATAAATCAAACTCTGACTGCTTGTCTGACTACTACAGGGGTGACTCACCATCCCCATGGTCATCACCTTCAGGATTGGAACCAGGATCTCCAGACCCATCAGGATAGTACCCACCATTCTCACCCTCCTCCTCATCTGTCAATAACACACACCAGTCCTCATTCAACAAGACATCAAAACATCATGCTAGCAAGTCTATGTCTTTTGCCAAGCATATTTTGCAACCATTCCCCCTGCAGTAGAGCAATAGTGATTCTACAGGGTACATGGTCTTAGGTATTACTTACTTATAACTGATATTTTAGTCTTTGCATATTGTTAATGATTTAGAGAAAATTCCATTGAAGTGCCATGATAAAACAATCCCATGATGCGCTTATGAAATACATAACCAATATCCTTTCAATATCCAGAAGTCCATTTAAAGGAAAGAGCCTCTGAGAAACAAGCAAGAGTCCCAGTTTCTGGCTGAAGGGTCTTTCAGTGAGAATACAGATATCACCCATCTGTTCACTATATTTCCATGTGCATTACCCTACCCACAATTCAGAACAGGGTTTACACTAGCTTTTTTAAATCTTGAGTCCTGGCACCTAGCCAGAGGGAACATGTTCAAATGGTTGTCAATGAGTCCCACAGACTTAGATGTTCTGCAAATATGAGTCCCTCTAAGAAACCATGCGTCAGGGACTCGCTATAGCAAGTTAACGTGAACCCTGCAGAAGATACTAATAGTTGAACCTTACTCTGAAAGGGAGTTCTTCCATCCAAAACAGGGACAACATCAACTTGTAAATGATAGCTGAATGGGACTGTGTGCATTAATGAAGGATAGTGTCTAAACACATTGACTGCCATGTCAGCCACAGGTGACTGACACTAAGAAGATCTCAGGCCATGTCAGCCACGGGTGGCTGACGCTCAACTTCGAGCTACTTTGACCCATTTTGGTTAATGCCTGTATGCATTTTGCTAAGCAATTCGAAGGCTTGGCTTCAAGTGAATAATAAGCAACATGATATTGACATCTATAGACCATTGATGAACTATATTCTTAGAAAAATGAACTTGATTGATAAGGAAGGAGGTGTGTCAAGCATTACGTGCACATTGGTGGGTTGTTCCAGACAAACTAAACAGTATATACTCTATAATATACAGTATATTACTCTATCTTCTTCCCGGCTTGTTCATGTTCCAATTCTTCCTTCAGACGTGAATGACACAAATGACATGCTTTCTTGTTGCTGATTTTGGTCTATTTCTTTCTTTCCAAACATTTTTCAGCTTTACTATTGTCATAGAAATGCACCATACAAAGGAGTAGTTCTAACCTGTCCCACACTAGACCCATTCAAGTTAGCAGGCTTGAAAACTTCCTGAGATCAGTCCAGTCAGTATGGGTCCCATTCAAAGAGATTACGGTGTAACAGTGTTACATATAAGGACTTTCTGGGCAAGGCAATCAATATCTCCTATATTGAGATTTAGGACTTCATCATTGAGAAGAAGCTTCAAGTGGACTGAATATATCATGATCAACAATCAACCCCCCCCCCTTTGGCATATAGCATTGAATGAACAAAGAAGCATCACACCAACACCTGGATGTTGAGTCAGCATTCAATAGATGTTGATTCAATGTTTTGTGTTACTGGGGCCATAGGTGTCAGTGAAAGAGAAAACTTCTGCCGACCTTGAAATATAGATCGCATGGTGCTTGTTCCTGAATCTCCAGTCCCACCATGATTACTTGCTTCTCAATTATAGATTGTCTTAATCAACTTGCTGATTGTCCTCATCAACACTTCTGTCACATCACAAGCTTTGTCAATTATTAGAATCACTAACACCAAGAGGTGGTACAAGCGCAGTTTTGCTATCAAAGTCATCATTTTCTGAAGACACCACTTCCACGAAGTAATAAGCAATGAATGTATCACGTCCTCTTGGTCAAGAATTTGAATGGACATTTTTATTCAAATGATAGGAATAGACAAGATGAGTGGGTTCATAGCCTATTGGTGGTTTACATGGCTACAACTGAAATATTATGCAGACAATGTCAATCCATCATGGCTGATCTTTTTTTGCCGCAATCATTTTTACTCAAACTGTGTCACGACGTATTAAAACGCCAAAATTCAAAGTCCACTAGATGCAGGGACATCCCTCTGGCCTGGTGGGAGCACTTTCCTTAGAAGGGCTTGGCAGTCAATGAGTTAAATTCTGCACTGAACTAGAGGAACAGTCCTGTGCTAGCATGCTAGCCCTTGCATGGAATTACCACTAAAGCTTCATGACTCAATATAAATCTAAGCCTGACCTAAAGACAGTTATGCTTTTGCCTGGAATGTTCAGATGTATCTTCTGATGAGTCATAATCAATTATTACTCAAGAAATTTTGGGTCATGCATATGAGGATATAAGTGCCACAATGCAGAAGATAGAGGGAGAGGGATTCAAGGAAGGGCCTCTGAAAAAAACATTTTCATCCTACTTCACCTATTTCACCTCAGGATGGACTTGAGGCTTCAATTTCCTGAGAAAAGCTAAAGGGCAATCGAAGACTGACAATTATCCTAAAAAGGGGAGAACAAGATACCTGGTGGGGTTTGATTGCCAGGAGATGGGGGGCAGCCACGATACTCAAGTCTTGGGTTCCGGGGGAAGACCCAGTTGAACAAGTCCGTTATCTCCTCTCCCACATAAGTGGTGATCTGTGGATGTGACTTATATATACTCTACCAACCTTTATATCAGAAAAATGAAAGTCAGAATAAGGGTCTCACCTGAGCACTGATATTGGTGCTATTGCTGGAGAATTCAACCTTGATTTTAAAATTTTTTTCTTGTGGTCCTTCCACAAGGGCACTCCAATTGCAATTGATAGCAATTGGATGTTCCCACTTTATATCCCTGAAGGGAACCTGAAAAGAAATTCAAGCCTCAATACATTGTGGTATTTATTTTCCACAAGACCAGTATAATGCTGAAATATCATCTCACATTCACTGAAATGATGATCCTGGTTTTATTCACAGTTAGTGAATAATCCCCATGCACTCCTAGAAAGTCCATTTTGCGATTGATATCGCTTCCATTACACTGCTTTTCTGGAAAGGATTCCATATTGCATATATAATCTGAACCTTGGTGGTCAAATGTAGAGTACAAATGTTGGCCTATTACAAGCTGCAGTGATGAGAATGAGTTTTCTCTTACCAGTGCATTTCACTTGGCTTCTCACAGGGAAAGGAATTAAACCCATGACTACCAAAAGTAACATGAGCTTCATTCTCCTCCAATACCAGTATGATATCTGGAAATATTGAGACCACGAAATTTAGCTGACAGTTCATCTCAGTGTTCGTTAATCAGTATATAATAGACCTAGGCCTACTTATCCAACATTTCCCAAGTGACCTGGGGACAGGCCTGTCGCTGAGAGTCAATGAACCATCCCAAGAGCGGAGAGAATCATGCTCGACTCTCAGCACTCTGGGCAACCCATCCCCAGACAAGCGAATAAGGAACCAACATGTCCACTCCCCTCCATACAACCTAGTTACTGATGGAATTCCCTATTTACTTATTACCCGGACTTTTCGCTCAGGACAACTCAACACTGTCCGACAGCCATGGAGCAGCATACTTCCGGTACATTATGGTGGCCATGGTGACTGTCAGATGATGAGCTGGGTCCATTCACTTTGAGAAGAGCTATTCAGCAAACCAGGTTGACAGCGGCGATTCCTTGGACCCATTAGTCGTAAATTCATTAGATTTCTGACAATTTTTCTTTTCATACCCGAATGGGGATTTAAAAAAAAAAACAATGGTTGAGGACTGTCAGACCTATGATAAAAATCAGAGTTGCCAGAAATTAAGAGAATGCTTCATGCAGGACAATTCAATTTTATTATAGCATGTTGCGCCGATGTACCCGAACCTGACAAAGGTAATTTGAGAAATGTCAAGCAGAAAAAGTCCACGGTCTCTACATTTCACGTCCTCTCTTCCATAGCAAATGTCAGTGTCGAGACAAGAGGGAATATCCCTATTTGGCACCTCCCAACTATCACCCAACAGGGCAGGCTGAGAGGGTGCTGACTGCATGCCCTCTTTCCCCTCCCTCACTCACTCATTAACACGTTGGCGACAATGCGTCCTGATGCCAGGATACAGATTTTTTTTCAATGAATACCCTCTGGAACTGTTGAGTACCCTCTCAGCCTGCCCTGTTGGGTGATAGTTGGGAGGTGCCAAATAGGGATATTCCCTCTTGTCTCGACACTGACTCACTCATTACGACAAAACAATCGGCCTTAGAAAAGAGCTAGTTTCATATCTCTCAAAGGGAATGGACTATATTTGCCTCCATGACGTGCGGTTCCCTCTCCTGCGACACACTCCCGACCTTTCCTCGCGTCTCCACATTCGTCACTCAACGACCCGCACGGATTGACGCTAGAAAAGAAGTTCCCCGGTAGAATACCTTAAGACCGCCCTATAGCACGTCCAGCGGAATCGGAGCCGGTCACACGTGCGGTTTCCGCAATCTCGGAGAGGCAACCCCGACGACAGCATGGGTACTGCGTACGTGGTACAGAGCTTTCGTATGCATGATAGTGAAGCAATCGCAGGAAAATCCCACAAGGGGTAATATTGACGTGACGATACCTATCAGTACAACTGAACATTTCAGCAAGCAAAAACTTATACGTTTGAAGAACGTGCCACCTCCGGTTCTATTTCTTTGCTCAGTGGAGTGCCGCTTCACTCAGTTCCATGCGTGACAAGGTGTTCCCACCTTGTCATGCACGGAACATAGAGACGAGTGAAAACCAGATAGGTCCACCTTTCTTGGGGCATCTCACAGAGAAATCATTAGTAGGTACTAATAATGTTCAATAATCCCATCTAACGTTAAGCCAATAACTAACAATTAGGCTTAATGCTAAAATCCAACTAGATGTCATAAGTTATAGGCCTAGCATTAGGTCTCACCTTTCATTGAAGATATGTTTTTCAATAGTTTCCATGGGTAAGGGCATGTGATGAACTTCTGACACATCACATTGCACTTCCGTTTCTTGTCAGCATAATTGAGGTGGAATGGGGTGGAATGTGATTTAGTACCTCTGAAGAAATGCTGCTGGAAAAGGATTTCCTGCATGACAGGCATGTTGTCTCCTCTGCATTTGCCAGGAGTGGTACCTTGCAACACAATTTCCCAATGCCAAAAGCCCAGAGGGTAGCAAAGCAGCATTCTGTTCCAGGAAAAAAAAAAAAAAAAAACATCAAATGCCAGCAGCAACAACAAAATGCAATCACTTAACATAATCATGTAAAGTATTAAAAAAATGCCTGGTATCTGGATGTTTCACACACACACACACACACACCCACCCACCCACAAGCAACATGGATCCCCACATGGCTTCACACTTCCCAATAGGGACATACCAATACCAGGTATTGAACAATGTCCTTTAACATGAAGACCTGGTAAAATATGTATTGAGCAGATACCCTGATGATAAAATTCAGGCTTTGCATTTCAATAACCTCTGGAAGAGACATTCCAAGAGTCTTAACTACTTTTAGCAATCCAAGAGAATGATTAGAATGGGGTCAGATTTATGCTGAATAACATATCTCTCTGATTTTTCTGAGACCTGAACTTGGAACATTAATTGGCCAAGACTTGCCTTGTCCAGTGCCTTCATTCATTACTGATGAGATGCCTAGTTGCATCTATTGTGACTTAAGCCAAGGTCTATGATGAAGCCATTACTTACTTAAAATAAGGAATTCAAACAGTTCATGTGTTTCCTTGACAGGTTATATAAGAAGTTTTGTAATCTGGTAACCAAGTCACTAGGATTGTGACCTCTGTTAATGAAGACAGGATTGGAAGGAAAAGAATGGAAATTGAACAGAGGATGGAAAAGGAAAGACCAAGTGAAGCTTAAGAGCATGAAGATAAAGTTTAATGAATGGAGGATGAAATGGAATGAATGCCCATGAGACACTTATAAGAACTTTTATTGCTTTTTAACCCTGAATTTTAATGCAATTTCTCATAAGTTGCTAATTACCTAATTTTATGCTGCCCAAAAAACATATGGCTCCAATGCTGTTGGATTTTAGTCTTAAATCTTAACATTCTTTGAGAGATATTATTATGAGAAAGTGACAGTCCACAAAAGAGTATGTCTTCAGTTTCTCATCTTAGAAGTGCATAAGCAACAAGCAGTAAGAAATCATTTACTCTGCTATATCCAAACCAACATGGCTACTCCAAAAATTCCATCATTTTTTCTTAACTTTTTCATTAAAATGTGGCAGGGACATTTATTGAGTTCTTTGCATGACTGCTTTCACTGCTTTCATTCTGTTCGATTCAAGTAGCCTTTGTGTTCATTTGATACTGTTTACCATGGACTCAAATACTGATAAACAGCATGAACCCCACCTGCACATCTAGATCTGTCAGTCCAAGGCCACATGTATGCCATCAATAATGTCCTGTTAGCACCTCAGATTCCACCATACAATTTCATGAACATCATTATGTGTGAAAGGAATTTCTTGTAGTCTGTCTACCTGAGCTCAAATCCTGAAAACTCCTTTAGTTAACAGTCCTTTAAGAATACATGGAGATACATGAGGAGGATACATGGGAGAAAGAGCTTGTTAACCCTTCCAGTCCAGGTGGGGCTAAGGAGTCCTGCATTTTCTTCACATATGTTATAGGGTCACACAGGAATGCACAACCCTGAGGCCAGGGCAGGGTTCTGGGTCCCAGTTTATATTAGTTCATTTCATGTTGTCATATTGACAGTGTAATATGAAATACTGCTGTATTTCCTTCAGCACTTGAAAAATGGGTGTCACCTTCTGCATTTATTTCAGCTAATAAATTTCTTTCCCAGCCAATTTTTTCTATGTTTTTCAAGCTAGATAATGGAAAGTAATACAGGAATTCTGGGAAACATACAACATAATATAGTGATATGAGTAACAGCTGAACTAAGCAAATATCAATTTAATTAATTTAATTTAACTTTTTTAATAATTGAATAAATATTTATTTTCCTTAAGAAAACCATTTTAAAGCAATTTTATTTTATATGAACCTTGTTGGAGCCCGAAAAGTAAGACATTTTTTTCAATGCCAGAAAATAATTCGGGGCTGAAAGGGTTAAAGGTCTCTTTATTTCCCTTCCATGACTGCGAATTTTTTGTTATGTAAGATATAGTTGACTTGTATCCGTGGCGCAGACTGGATTTCGCGTAAGGACTAGAATTTTCCTAACTTATCCTAGGGGGAGGGGCTAGAACAAAGCCACGCTATTGGTTCGAAATGGCCTGAGTATGACGTCATTCGTGCACGCACAGGCACACAGTGGCTTGACGCCATTCTCTCTACGTGCATTCCCTTCTTTCATGGCTCAGGGGAGCAACTTGTTTCAGCGCTCGGGAGTCGCGTTTTCCGCGACCTAAGGCGTCAGGAGTGTTATCAGAACCTGTCCCCATATCGATGAGGGAAGCAACAGACGCTTATGGATTCTGCTGGTGAAAAATGGAAAATTCCTGAGCGGCCGCAGTGGACGAAAGAATTTCTCAAGTTCCCCTCTTGACCGGGTCATGAACGTTTGATTCATTACGGACGGCACCCGTGATGACGTCTTGAGTTTGAAGTTCTCTCATTCCTGGAGGCTTTTAAGTGTAGTGGTCTGATAAACATTGCACAAGATAGTCTAATCGAAATTATCTGTTCTTTGTTGTCTCCATGTAAGGCGACATAAACCGGTCTGGTCGATTTACATGGTGCATCGCATTCTGAATGCAGGCAGGAATTCAAATTTATCTAAAGTTACCGTTAGTTTCCCTTTCATAAACCCTTTCCCATCACAAAATTCAAACTCTTCGTATTCCAGAGAGCATCTAGAGAGGCGAAATGGGGCGTGCTTCTTCCCCTCAATACAGAATCGCTGCGGTAAATATGAAGCTTCAATTCCCCGGGGCCGTGGAATTTTCTCACTTCTTGAAATGTCAACTTCATCCCGGTATTTTTTCTTTTCCCCTCATGAGAGATACAGGGAAGATCGAAACCTGCTCCAGATTATATAGGCTATAAATGGTGATATTAAATCAAGATGGAGGTTGTCGGTGGTGAAGGGCCACTTAATAAGAATCAAGGACTGGATTCCTTCCCTCTTGCATACATTCTGAGAAGATATCTATCCCTTACTCATAGTCATGCGGATGTTTCCTTGTCTCAGGATTTACAAGCACCTCCGTGACCGCCACGTATGCTTGTATGTCTGTATATATGTCCCCTTAAAAAAAAAAAAAAAAAAAAAAAACCGTAACGATGCGGAGGAGAGCGTCCTTGAAGAAGCGCCATACGCGCTTCTATCGGAAAGGGGGAAGGAGGGACCCTCGGGCTAGGATGGGCGGACTGAGGCCATTAGTGACGCAGCTGAGGGAGGGGCGTGGGGCCACTCCTGGAAGTATGGGGAGAAAACCCTCCCTTGGGGCTGGTGGTAGGGTGCGCGCAATAATACAAAGGCTATGTGTAGCCTCGATCCCCTCACCTCCCATCCTTCGGTTCACTACTTGACTAAAAAGTGACGAAATGCACACCGAAATTACACTTGCCTGAGTGGAATCCGTCTACGACCAGTATATGAAGCCGTATGGAGGTTACACCAATGACGTACACAAGCTACAGTCGCCATCTCGATCCCGTCCTTGAATAGTAGAGCCCAGCACGGGTCGCAGGCAGTTCCGGACAAAAATTCCAGAAATCTCTCATCGGGTAGGGGAAGGGAAGTTGAGATTTTCAATTAGTTTTTTTATTTTTTATCCAGTCTCTGGGATAACTGACACCCAATATATCGCTGCTATGCACCCCTCTTTAGCACTCTCCTTGCTCAGCATCCCCTTTCAGCCCCTCGCTCGGCACTTCTCAAAATTCAAGATAGTGATATCAAGAGGCGATTTCACCCATTTCGATATCACGCGTCGAGGTCGAGCGTTCCTTAATTATAGGGTAGGCCTAATCCTCTTAAAGCTAAATATTTGTATTAATTTTTTTTTTACTATGGAAAACAAGTTTGGAGGTCTAAAAAAGCTTGGCGATGCCATGTCATTAAACGAAAGTTGAAAACAAGGTGGTACATGATGCTCCTTAGCCAGCGTATGATGGTCGATCGTGTTCCGTTGTTTCGACCGACGTGGAGAACTTTACACTTACTTTTATTAAACCTCATGAACCATTTCTTGCTCCACTCGTTCAAAAGACTTAGATCTTGCTCGGCTCTAGCCTATCTGCCTCCCCCCTTATGGTAAAACCTATCTTCGTGTCGTCGGCAAATTTACTGACAGATTCACTTCCTGTTAACGCTTCCCCCCTGTGAAAGCAAGAGTGGACTGATACATTTTTTTGCTCCTATCGGATCAAGTCGGACGGTGAAGATGGTCACAACATGGGTTTCACTTAAGCTCGGGGCCGAGACTTGAATCGGACCGATCGGGTCGCGGGCCGCGTTCCGAAAGATCGGCCTATGCAGACTCTAGCGAGACGGCTGAACATCATGGCTGATTCACGCAGGCGCGAGCTGGGTGGAGTGAATCGCTCCCCTATCCACTTCTCTTACGCGGGCACAAGAAATGCCACTCCGTCTACCCCATTATACTCGCTTGCTTGACTTTGAAAAATGGCAAAAAAGGCTTTAAAAAATTGGCATGCAATTTTTTTGCAAGACACTTTCCACCCGTTTATTACCACCTTAGCCATTTCGCAATTGCCTACTATGCGTAAAAATGCATGAGCGTAATAGCACCCCATCACATGCATCCTAGGCCTTGGATTAAACAAGGCTTGCTGCTGAATTGGGATCAGTTAAATTCGTAAGTCTGCATTCAAGACCATCAGAGAAATCGCGAATTGTTGAAATACAGTCGCATGTACTCGATCTGTACATGACTATAATGGCAGGTTAAGGTCTACTTAAAGTCTAGTCACTTACATCGACATTGCTCCCTTTTTTGTTTTGTTCATGAAGGCATCTGACCTCCACTTAAAGCTAGCCATGGAAGGCGTTCACTTCCCTACAAGTAAATTTCTGTCGCACCCTGCGCCTCACCTGGGATTCTTGCAACTTGAGATGATTCCCTCTCGTTCTGTTGCTGCCACTACGTTATTACACAAGTTTATTGGAGGTTTTGTTATGATTTTATGCAATTTTGAAATTTTTTGTAAGCTGGCAGGTCTGTTACAAAAAGTAACACAAGGTAAACTAGTGCGAAGCAGGGAAAAATCAATTTTGTTCAAATGCAGAAAGAAAGAATGCTTTTCCACTTTGCTGGTTAAGCCCTGAGAAAGGTATTTCCTAAAACTCAACCTAAGCAAGGGGCAATTTTTCTCAGTCACAGAATACATTTTCAGCAACTGACTTCTGCCACTTTTAGCAGAGATTTTTCCATATACATTAATGTAGCATAATGTATCATGTTATATTCATGGTACAGAAAGTTAGTTATATTATAAGATGCAATGAACCTCTTCTACTTTTGGAATCTTAAAAGTGTTATTTCCACGTCGTACCAGTTAGGGAAAAATGGCAAAACTGAAACAGCTGAAAGTTAAGTTTAATGTGCTTTCAACTCAACTCTCTTGTGTTTTAGTTTTGCTGTTTCACTTGACTCATTATAATTCAACGGTAAATTTATATAAAACAAGTATATTGCAGACATTTATAACAAAATGTAAAAGGAAACTGTCAATGCATTGTCCTTGGCTGCCATGAGAAAAGCAGTCCAGGAATCATTCCTGAATTGCTAATTTCAGCTCAATAAGAGTAATGCTCGAAGACACAGCCTTTAAGGGTAAAGTATAGTGGTGCGTTTGTTTCGGATGCAGCTGAGACACCTCAAGATGTGAATCAATCAAGGTGCTTTTTTGCATGGCCTAAAATAAATAAATTATTGGAAACTGAGACGCTATTTCACTCGTGGAGATGGGAAGGTAGTGTACACTGGTTGATGAAAATGAGCAAAAGCAGCAAGACCTATCAAGGTGTCCGCCCCCCAGACACGATCGACCATCATACGCTGGCTAAGGAGCATCATGTACCACCTTGTTTTCAACTTTCGTTTAATGACATGGCATCGCCAAGCTTTTTTAGACCTCCAAACTTGTTTTCCATGGTAAAAAAAAAACAGCAAAATTTTCCCTTTGCTCTCAGGACTTGAGAGACAATACACCAACAGACCTTAGTATGGAATTACCTAGGGGATCATTAACTAACATTTTACGGCAATAACTCCACAAGAAAGTTAAACAAAGACATAAATGTTTTTGTTCCAAGATATGCTAACTAAGCAAATTTCTACTTATTCGTCGTCTTCATCACATTGACTTACATGTCAGACATTTCATAGAGTTCTAGTTAGTTGGCGAAAGGGAGTTTTCATTTGACCCTGGTGGGGAGAGTCCAGCCATTTGTACCTCGAAGAATCGGCTAACCTCAGTCAGCCCAGTTCCTGGAGAGGCGAGACGGGGTCGTATGACGGCTTTCCGAAGGACGCTTGGCTAGCAATGCCACTCCGTCGGCTCCAACGCCAAATACAAGGTCCCCGTGAGAATCCGCATCTGTTCATCAAGGAATAAAGTAGTTATATAACAAGCCCTGAAACCTTTGATTCACCCATGTGTAACGTTTTTTCTCCTCACAAACTGACCAATGATGCAACATGGCATTGCCTCAAACTTCCTCTTTGTGACTAAACCAAAGGTAATTTTTATTATGGTAAAGTTATTGGACACAACCTGGATTTAATTGTTTCCATTTTTTTTATATATTAAAAATCTGAACTAGAAAGGCTCCAAAATAATTTCCTGAAACGATTTTCGATGGGATCCAAACACTATATAAATCATTTCTAAAGCCTCCCGACGAATGTACATGCTAAAGACATTGAAATCTTTTGGCTCACCTCAGGAGGACCTCCTATATGTCTAGTCTTATATCCGGCCAGTTCTCGAGTACGCCTGCCCTTCCTGGAACAACTCCCTACCCAGCCGCGTCGTATTTGTCACCGAACAGGCGCAAAGCGTGCTCTACGCTTAATCCTTGGGCATAAATATAAAACTTACGAAAAGGCCTTGTCGACTCTGCGCATCCCATCCTTACGAAAAAGACGACTGGATCTTACATCTAAATATGCCCATGCCCTCCTAAAAAAATCCATCGCGACGGCAGGCTTTGCCTCCCTACCGGCAATGTCCACCCATGAACCTGAAAAGAAACATCTCATCTCTCGTGCAAGAGCATAAGTGCCGCACGCGCAGATTTTACCAGTCAGTAATCCCCTTCACGACCAGCTTGATAAACCAGAAAACTACCAGAGAAGGCCTCCACACTGGCTCAGTACAAACCTCATAATTTTGTTCCCCTTTCTATGTCTACCCTTTGACGATGGAATGCAATTTGCTGATGCACAATTATTCCAGAATCATGAATAAACCACTTTTTTTTCTGCAAGGCAGTCGGCCGAAAAGGAAGCGATTATTGATCGGACTGTCTCGTCCTTGTCTAAGGACCACGAAGAGAAAACGACACCAAGTAACCAAGTCTAAATCTCACGTGCATGCGGACACGCATTCCCTTAGGACAGTACGCAAGACACGAAACCACCAAGAAAGCGGCGACAGACCAATACGAGAAAGCTGAGCTGGCGGAAGTGGGACCTCCACAAGCAACAGATGCCCAGACGACTGTGAATTGAGAGGGGGGAGAGTGCGAGCGTTTGGGGCTTGGGACTATAATAAACGCTTGGGACGAAGGGGAGGGGGACGCGGGTAGCAATCCATTCATCTATCCTTGGGGCGAAAGGGAAAGTGGTCTGTCTGCAAAAATTCATTCCTCGACCTCCACACGCGAAGCGAATATTTCAGTGAATGTCTTCTTTAAAGCGGTGAAAAGTGGTATGCATAGACAGACCGACATATTTCCCCAAAATTACCATCATCAAATAATGGGGAAAGGTTCTAAAGTACGAAACCAAAAAAATCTTATTTCAGACTTTCTTTTGCAGCTAGATCATTTCTCCTTTCAGCCCTCATTTCTTTCACTATAGATGCCTTCAAATGGAAATGTAGAAGCATCCCATTCGCAAATGTCCTTAATCCGAAACCCTGAAAAGTCTAAAAGTTTTTCATAAGTCCATTGGAAAAAATAACGACGAATCGGAAGAACCGTTGCCGAGCTTTTCGCTTTGACCAGGCAATCGTCCAACGTCCGTCAAGGCGACAGTGTCAATTCAATGAGAATTTTCTTCATGTTATTTTACTTGCAAAAATACAGTTTCTTGCGAATATTTCCATAAGTGAGTCTCAAGACGCATTAAATATGGGTCACTCCGTGTCCACACAGAGAGGAAACAGGAGATCCGGACTTGCATGCATCCCGAGGATTTCGCAATCCCTAGGATTCTTGCACGAGTTCCTCACCGGTTTCAGTCCGCGTCCATCTCCCGTCCTCGTCCTCGCTCGCCTGCTCAGAGATACAAAAATAAACACGGCTAAAAACCAGAATGTCAAAACTGCCATCGGTCAATCTACATTCCAAATGCCATGCTTTTAAAATACAGGAACAAAATTCAGCGCCAGGACAACAGGATCCCAAAAAATTTGCTTGTATCTCAATTTTCTTTTCTCCCTTTAATAGTAATCAGTTCATCAATGTATTTATC